CAAATGGATTTTTTAAAAAAATGAATCATTACCATGGCTTCTTTGCAAGACTAATGTCTGAAGGCACGACCTTTTCACTTGTCACAGCCATGGGAGCGAGAGATGACAACATGTCAGAACGGCAGCCTTTTTTCCGTAAGGATTTCTGAAGCATAACAAATGGGTGGGGTGATTTAACGGGCTGTGCTACCAAGGAGAAGCTGCGAGCAAGCCCTGGTAGCAGGGGCCAAAGAATTCAGACCCTAGAAGGATTTGTCCGAAGATTGTGTGCTGTGTGCCTCTCCTGCAAAATTACCCATTAAGGAAGGTGCTATTTTACATCCTGATACAATGATTTATAAATTTCCTTTGTAAACCATGATATTATGTAACCCTACCTTTAATGCTCAGCAAATCAGCATTCTAATGATATGTGAACATCGTCTGACCTACTTTTGAGCAGCATTAAGATGTGGTAGTGTGGTGGAATTGCTGCCACTGGCCAAGGGAGCTGATGTGCACATCTCTGCCCAATTCTACAACACAAAGACGTTACCTTTTAGCTTGAGGTTGGGGATTACACCACTGAAATGGGTAGTACTAGAATTTGGAGTTTTCTCCACTTTCTCCCCACAGAAACTAAATGACAGACATTTACCAGAACATTACTAAGGAATATGTTTCATTATATTAATAATTTTAAAGTGTATGTCCAGCATTCCAGAGATAGGGAGAAGTTGGAGAGTTTAACTCAAGACTAATAACTAACCTTGTTCATAAAAGCAAACTCACAATTATAAATAGTCTAAGTTTTGACAAATAATTGAGCAGTATATTGATGAATATGTTGATTTTTCAACACAGATATAGACAGTGGACATTTACATTACTAAATCACTGATATTGAAGATTATTTCCAAACTTTACTCTCTTCAAGTATATATATTACTGACTCTCCCAATAATACAAAATTAATATTAACACTTTTTTTCCCTCCTCAGTTCTCCCAGTAAAGACTTTGAAAAGGAAACAAAAGAAAGGACAAGCATAGCCTGGATAATTCCAAACTAAACAAACTGCCCCCATGATCATTTGGCTCAATTCTTTATAGAGAAGAAAAAGAAACTCAGAGAAGAATGGGTATTTGGATTTGATTTCAGTGGGTCCTATTCAGAAACCATCACTGTCATCATCAGTGATGACCCCTAAAATACAGGTGTCCAGCTATCCCACCCTATATGTCCACAACTCCCCATGTCTTAGCTTGGAAAGTTCCCCATCCTGGGATTGCCATCAGTCCCTCCACTCATTCAGAGAAGAGGTGGCAGAGGAGGGTGTGGGGCCACGAATGAGGAGAAAAGGCTGGCCCAACATTCAAGCGGGGAAACTGGGGCAGGAGATACTAGGGTTTGCAGGTGGGAGGGTGAGGGAGGTTGAGACATGATTACATTTTTTTTTTTAAAGAGAAAAAGTGAAGTTTATTGAAAGAAAGAGTATGCAGGAGCCTGAAGCCAGGGGTGCTTAAGCCCACCCCACCAAGAAGACATGATGTATTCATATGGGGCTGGAGTGGAGGGGTAGGGTCACAAGAAGAGCAGGAACTTTGATTAGCTTACTTGCTACTGTGACATTATTGGTCAAGCTATGGGCATCACCTGCCAGTAAGGAAGGGTTATGGCCAGAGGATTCTGGCCAAAGGTTGCTGCAACCATCTTCTTATTTTCTGACAGGAAATTACCTAAAGGTCATTTAGGGGCTAATCTAATATTTCCAGGTTTTATCTTTTATAAGAAATATGGGGTGAAGGTGGGACAAGAGATTATGGGCTGTGGTCTGTCTTCTGGAGCTGCTTCAAGCTGAAGAGGCGTCGTCTTTTAGGATGATGGGGAGGGGTGCGGGTCCTCTAAAGGCAGGCACGAATAACATACCCTCTATAGCAGCAAGATGTTTTCAGCCTGTTTGGGGTTCAGTTGTTGGATGGAATCTCACATGAAGAGGTTTAGCATTTTTAGGAACGATGGTCCTGCAGAAACTAAGAAAGAGGTACAGTGGGGGCAACCAGGGAAAGGATAAAAGCAGCATTCTTCTTTTAGGAAAAGGAAGAGACCTCCCTTCCCTACTGTGAGAAAGTCTAGGCTTATTTGGTTTTGGAGAGTTACCTCGGCCTTGGCATCTACTTGGTCTGGAATCTGTAAGAAACTTTGGGATATTTTGTCTAGGCTTTGTGGAAGGTCAGAGGGAAGAGTTTTAACATAGTGAAGAGATGTAGACCAAGGTGTGTACCTCAGTCCAGTTAGTAAATAAGCATAGGTAGGTAGAAGAACCACAGTGAAAACAGGTCAGTATTAAAAAGGCATGAACATATTTTGTCTGTTTGTTTTGTCTTTAAGAGATTTTTGCTATAGGGCACGTGTGCATGCTGGAGAGACAGAAAGAGACAGAGACATCACCCCCCAGGGAGATGGCCACACCACAATCCTTTTCCTCCATTCTCCTCTTGGGATTTTGGACACACACGCACACACACCCACCAGGTTGGGACTTGGACCATAGTCAACTACATGGGACTCCAGTGACATAAGCATTACGCCATCTGCTGCTCCCAGCATGAACATTTTTAAAAAAATTTATTTAGTTCTTTTATTTATTATTATCATAATCTTGTTTATATTACATTGACTTTTTACATTTCAATTTCTTTTGTACATTCAATCACATATGTCACTTAGCTTGCAAAGTGAATATTCCAACATGTATACATTTCTCACCAATTCAGATGAGAATATTATACATGTTATCTTCAACAGATAATAACCCATTTCTTTGTCCCATACATACCTCGCCTCTTTATTTTTCTCCTTACTATCCTTCCTTAGTCTCTCCTCCTTTATCCACCCTCTCCCCACATTGTATCTGGCATTTATAATCATTTTCTATGTTTCTATATCCTCTAGTCATTCAGTTTCAGTTATAGAGTGCAGACAGTCAGTATACATTAAGTGGGGACATACAATGTCTCTCCTTCAAAGCCTCGCTTACTTCTATTCATTCACTTTCTGTCTGGCATGAACACATTTTTAAAGTTAGTTATTCAACTTCAGTTTACACACTCCCAACATGTTACATGAAATGAGTTCAAACAAACATGAAGTTTAGCAGCCTTATATCCACTGCTTAAATTCCATAATGAACATTTTTATGTCTCTATTAAAATAAAAATTATTTTCATCATTCATGGTGTTTTCCTGTTTGTTTGTTTTTAGGTTTTTGCCACAGGGCACTAGTGATTGCCAGAGAAAAATAGAGATAGTGAGAGGGAAAGTGAGAAATCATCCCTAGGGGACCAAGTCACAATCACTTCTTAATTCTCCTGGGATTTTGGGCACACATACACACACACACACACACACACACACACACACATTTTTTTTGATTTTCAAGCCACTAGGTCCAGGACTTGAACTGTAGTTGGCCATGTGGAGTCCAATGCCTTAACCATCATACCACCTGCTAGCCCATTATGTTGCTAATATAAAATTGTACTGAATACTTAATTTCCTTTATTCTGTTTTAAAGTGACCTTAAGTAATAACATTAGTTGAAGACCAGACACTAATGGGGGAGACTTTTTCCTCAATCCTGCTGCACAAAATGGAGATCTACTGGAGCCTAATCATGTCCCAGGGAAGGAACTGGCACACACTGGAGTACAGATGTGACTTTAAGATCTGGCCCTTGAGTTAGAGGAGGGCTTCTCTCACAGAGATCACATCAAGAGAAGAAGTGA